TATAAGAAAAGCATGAAAACCATAGCACACACAAATATTGAGCACAATAGTTCGTTTTGAAGTAGATTGAACTATTTTATTAATACATATAATAGCTGACATGTCTATACACTCTCCATGCGTTGCACTGCAATTCCATGTGATTGTGTCTTACAGTTTGGCCATTATTAGCAGTTACTTTGAAACTAGAAAAGGTTCATTTTGAACAAAGAGTTAGCTGCTGTACTGCAGGTTGCTAAGAAAAGGTAGCTAATTAGTTGAAATGATTGTAGAGGGCAGCACATAACTATATAATCAGAGACATATCTCTCTTGATTTGAGGGCTTTTGAATGAATTAATAATGGTTAGGGTGACAACGTTAAAGGGGAATCGGTTCAACACTGCAGCTGGAATTGCTCTCCAGTTCAAAGCTGATTAAGGTAAGGATCTGTCTCGGCACGTTTAAGAGAAGTCAGACTGAAAGTGACCAAACCTCTCATCAGCAGAAAGAATCAAAAGACTAGACTCAACTTTGCTGAGGAGCATGTTGTGTGGAGAGAGGAGAACTGCTCCAAAGTTCACTTTAGTTATTATTCCTACTCATTTCTGACAGCTGTAACCCTCCAACATTTTAGCTGTAATCTTCTTTCGTGCTGCAGTGGTTGCTGTTCTCTAATTTTAATCAGTGTGTTTTCCACAAAATAAAGGTTTTTGTTGCACTGCTTTTGTGCTCCAGGGTCACATATCTGCTATGTTGCATATCGAGGACTTCAAAGCTTTTAGACACAAAACTCTCATTTTGATTTCTTGTTTTTATTTATTTATTATCATTTTCCTTAGAATGAATACCCTCCTCTGCTGTTGTTCTCTGTTCTCATATTGAGTTGGTCCGCAGGGTCTATGGGACGTCCTCTAACCTCTAGCTCTGTGAAACCACAGGGTAACTCCTGGCTCATGTGGGCACAGACCAGCCCTTCAAGTCCATTTGCATAGGAGGAGGCCACCAGGTGTGGGCCATCGCCAGGGACGGCGCTGTCTTCTACCGGGGCTCTGTGTCTGCCCACAATCCAGCTGGTGAGACCACACAGTCATCCTGATGGAAAGTGTGACCAGTTGACCAAGTGTGCTGCAATATGTAAAATACTGCTTGTTCTGGTTTTCCAATTTGAGACCTTTTTACACTTTGAAAAAGTGATTTTTAAGGTAAAGTTCTGTGTGACTATAAAAAAAGTGTTAAAAATGTAAAGTCAAGTCACCTTTATTTATATAGTGCTTTTAACAATACAGATTGTGTCAAAGCAACTGAACAGCATTAATTAGGAAAATAGTGTGTCAATAATGCAAAATGACAATAGTAAACACTCATTTTTCAGTTAAAGGCAGTTCATCATTGAATTCAGTGATGTCATCATCCAGCTCAGTTCAGTTTAAATAGTATCTTTGCAATCATTTGCAATCAAGGCGACGATATCGCTGGAAATGAAGTGTCCCCAACGAAGCAAGCCAGAGGCGACAGCGGCAAGGAACCAAAACTCCATCGGTGACAGAATGGAGAAAAAACCTTGGGAGAAACCAGGCTCAGTCGGGGGGCCAGTTCTCCTCTGGCCAGACAAAACCAGCAGTTCAATTCCAGGCTGCAGCAAAGTCACATTGTGCAGAGGAATCATCTGGTTCCTGTGGTCTTGTCCCGGTGGTCGTCTGAGACAAGGTCTTTACAGGGGATCTGTATCTGGGGCTCATCTAGTTGTCCTGGTGTCCAAATGTCCAAATAAATTGATATTAGTGTATGCTGGGGGATAAGAACAGCAATGGCTGATAGTACAGTTAAGCGGCTGTATTACAGAAACATTAACTTAGAATCATAAGGCATCTGTTTATTAACCATGTAATAGAACTTAGAATCAAACATTAGAAATAGAATCAAATTCTAATATATTTCTAGCCAGCGAGAATTATTTTCTATATTAAAACTAAAAAAAAAAATAATGGCGTGGCTAACGATGCAAGAGCACTCCTTCTAACAAGATAAAGTGATATAAAAGAGACACTTATCCTGGCTGATATTCAGTACAGTAGCATATTACATATGATATTGTTAAATAAAGAGAAATTATGCAAGTAACAAGTATTAGTCTTTTAAAAATACTTAATACTATTAAAAAAAAAATTGCATTCTTGTTTTCCTAAAAATGCCTATAAAACTGAATAAAACTTTATTAGCTGTGCTAAGTCGTACATGTAGATAAAAGAAAGGCACGCTCATTTTATAGAATGACTCTTTATGATTTCTTTGATTTTTCAGGTGAGTGCTGGTATCACTTACCATCTCCCCCGAAGCAGACGCTCAAACAGGTGTCTGTGGGCAGGACCTCCGTTTATGCTGTGGATGAAAACAGTGAGACAGCTGTTCCCACTCACTTCTTTTTAATTGGGCTCATTTTGAATCAAGCTGTATGGGGAATCACAGGCTCTGAATATCTGTTTTTCCTCATTATGATGTGTGAAGAGAAAGATATAGTAGTATAGTATGCAGTAAACAATATGTCATTGAGAACATTGTAGCGCATGGAAAGCAGATCTCTCTCCAATCAAGTCTGAGGTGTGTGTGTGTGTGTTGCAGGCAATCTGTGGTACAGACAGGGTTTGACACCCAGCTATCCTCAGGGTTCTGCGTTGGAACTCATCTCCAGTAATGTGTGTAAGGTGTCTGTTGGACCACTGGACCAGGTTTGAAACCTTTTACTTCCCGTTAAAGATACTAATGCACTTTTTTTTCTTAAACAGAGAGAGAGAGAAAAAAAGATTGGTTTCACATCTTTAGATACTTTAAAGGGGTCATATGAGTGTTACAAGCTGTTCGTGAATAGATAAGATCCCTAAAGTTGCAAAGACTAAAGTCTCAAACCCAAAGAGATATTCTTTATCAAAGTTAAGACTCGTCCACACCCTCCTAAAACGCCTCATTTAAACACGCCCCCACATGTCTACGTCACTGTGTGGGAAGATTTGCATAACGTAATACACAAAATACTGTTCTTTTTTAGCAACGTCAAATTGACCCCCTTTAAAAGACTTGGTTGGCTAAAAAGGTTTGCTAAATTTTATACCACAATATTGTGGAGTTCTCAATTTCGGTTAGTTGACACATTCCAAGGCTTTTGACTAATTATCCCTTATTGTACAGTTATAAAGTAGGTCAACCCTTGTGAAAACGTCTGCTTAATGTGCACAGGCAGTGTACTTCAAATTTTAAAAGTATATTTAAAAATGAAATTGCTTGCAAATATAACACTTTAGCACTTTATACTTCGTGATGTTAAATTAGTTTTGACAGTTTTACATTTAGTACATTTCAACTCATTGTTTTAATAATCTTTTGTCATGCTTTAAAGAACATTTAATGTGTTATAAAATGAAAATGATACCATTTTAACTGTAGTTTATTTCTTAGCATTACATTAAAGGTTAATATAATTTAAATGTAGTAAATTGCAACTTCATAATTACAAATGTGTAATTTAAAAAAATATTTAAATACATGACATACAAGTTTAATAGAATTTACATTAAAGTATGTTTAGTTTACCATTAGCATATATTTAGTAAGGCCCTATTACAGTACTGAGATTGCATGTTAAAATTACTTACGTTGATCTTATGCAACCAGGGGTTGTTTTTCTTTCTTCTAGACTACCTACCAGATCACTACTATTTCATTTGTGTAAATGAAAAGATATCTGACCTAACAAAAGTATGGTGTACCACAAGGCTCAGTTTTAGGCCCTTTGTTGTTGTCCTTGTATATGCTTCACAGTTCCGTATGCTGGAAGCTATTGTTTCCTCTTTCCACTATTAATTTATCCTGCATTTTTGTTATAGCATTAACCCTTCCTTTACCCACTTTCACTGGGACTCTCTTCGTGAGGTTTACATGCCCAGATACACCCCGTCCAACTACCCATAATGTTTTATTAGGTTTTGTTGCTTTGATGGTTCTGAAAGTGGTTGTAATGTTTCATCTGTCCAGGTTTGGATAATAGCAGATAAACGCCAGGTTATCCATCAGAGCGCTCAGGAACTGTGTGCATTACATGGGACTGGGAGTGAAGCCCATGCAGCCCAAAGGCCTGAGCTGGGACTTTGGCATCGGGGTGAGTTTTTCCACATTGTCTAATGCTGAATTGTGCCATCCTCCGAAAAAAAAAAAGTTTAGAAAGTTAATTGATTTGATTGTCATCCAAACAATTAAAGAAATTGGCCTAGCCTCCAATCATTCTGAAAAAGTCTTTACTCAAGAGTTATTTCTTCAACTAATGCACTAAAACAGGGTGGATGGGAGCACCTGTCTGTGAGAGGGAACTCTATAGAGGCCCAGCGCAGTCCAATGCCCAGCCGGACTCAGAGTCAGGTGAACGGGAATGTTGTGGGCTGCTAAACTCATCATCATCATCACTACCACCTTCATCATGCTTGACTGCACATCCCAGTTTGCTGTTCTTACGCCCTTCCAACCAAATGTGACTTTTTTAATTTATTTTTGATTCCACTTGCCTGAATAACAGACATCACTTTTCTGGGTGTGACTTTTGATTACTGTTTGTGTATGATTTGAATCACCTGATCCACTGATGTCTCTTTGTTTTAAGCATGTTATGTTTTCTTGTTGCCGTATTTGTTTCTGTAATCGGTAGAAGACCATTTTATGTTATTGGTTTCATTATATTATTTAAAGATGATTTTATTTCAATCTGCTTGCATTGTCGGAGACAGTGCTGTAAATGTGGACACAACTTCCCTACTGTGATCTTACAATGCTGGTTTTATTCCAATAAAGATCAATACAGATGTTTCCAATAAAGATGCTAAAAAGCATCAGCTTGTTTTCATTTGTGAATTCAAGATATTCTGTGCCACTAGCGGAACTGCAAAAATAAACCCTACCCTAACTGTTCTTAGACATTCCTCAAACTCTCACCATTGCATGCACCTGTAAATAAAGGCAGTGAAACATGCATGATAAAGAATTAAAACAAGACATAGAAGTTCATTGTCATTTAATTCCATAATAAACGGAGCACTTAATTTTATAAACCATTCCTTCAATGACACTAGGCATGATCATCATCAATATGAAGTAAAAATATCACCATTTTTTAAAATGTACAAGTTATAAGGACATGATGACCTGCATAAATTCCCCATTTATTTCATCAATAATTTGTCTTTTTCGATCACTTCTCACCCGTGACGTCACATTTTAGCTTTAAATTACAAAATCAGTCCTCGTACCTACTCGCATCGTTCCCAATTCAGACAAAATGAAACGATTATATACAGGAGAACAACATGAAGTTACACTTTAAAGATGTGCAAGATTAAGCAAAGTATACTGTAGAATAAAACCAAAGAATTTCCTTTCATAAAATGTCAAGTTGAACTGAAATCAAGTGCTGGTAATACAGATATTCAACAGGTCTAAAACATAGAGATCACTGTACTGAATTACAAGGGGATGTAGAAGCTATGCACCCGATTATTCCAGCGATAACCTCTCCAAATAATCTCTCCCCCAATTATGCAACATCATACCAAAATCAACATTCTTCCAGACGGAACAAAGGAAATATCCAATGATGTTGAACGTTCTGATTGTGAAGTATCACCTCGATTTGATTTCTACTATATACATTAGTTTATCTGTTACTGTCAACCCAAAGAAAAAAGCGTCATGAGCAGCAAGACAGGCAAATATAAATGATTCATACAACCTATGACGATTACCTTTCAGGTCCAATGAATAATACATGTGCACCAAAAAAATGAAGGAAAAAAAAATTTCATTTCCCATCCCTTGAGTGTTTACAAGCTGCTCTTTCATGTTAACACAAGGGAATCAGAAACTTAAAGAGGTTCTTTTGTTTTTCCTTTGAATAGTTTTCCTACTCAATGCTACAAGCAGCCATTGCCTTTGGAAGATCTGCTAGTTGCTAGCTAGTCTCTATGACCGCCAGAGCTTTCATAATTACTTGCTGAACATGTCGTTCAATTTACCGCCAACAATGATGATGAATCTCACAAAAAGTGTCTGGATCACATTTCAATCCAAAATCTAGAGAGAAAAAATTTTATATTTAGCAAAATATCAATGTTAATATCATTACCACAATTCTATCATTCATATTTCAATTCAGTGAAACAAAAACTACCATTATAATACAAACACTTTACAATTTAAATAAGATATCACTCGTTTTCACATTACAGTAATAAGAATTTGTGGGGGAAAATATGCACAACTGTCTTGAAAATAATGCCACTATGAAAAAAAACTTGATTGTGATTCTAAAAATAGGCTTCATTTTCTTTAAAGAAGTTGTTGTTTCTTTTGATTTTGGGGTGAAATATGACCTGGATATGTTCTAGATCCCCTTTGTACTGAATGAAAAAAACTTGCACAGCACAATGTGGGAGGAGAGGGGCTGTGAGGCACTGGTTACTAGCGTCTCATGTCCAAAACCCTTCAGCTGCCCATATCCTGACTTCTACATCTTTTAATACAAAACATCACGTCACTGGAACTATGCGAGTTGTTGCTTGGGAGAAAGTGGATGGTTGTTATCAACGAGTAGTCCAAACACTGTACAAAAATATCTGTGGAGACCCATGTTGCTTCTATTGGACATCTAATCCATTTCACGATCATATAAATAAGCTCGTCACACTAGATTTCACATTAAAAAAAAATCTAATAAAATCCAGTGTGTTAAAATAAAAGGCAAGTATTATACGATTTCAATTGCACAACTGAGTTCGAGTCTATTGGCTCATTAGTGTTGAGTGATAAACTTCAGCTTCATCCTTCTGGCGTAAAATGTGGACACAATGAAGAAATGCATTTTAGCAAAAGAAAACAAGTGAGGCATGGCACTTAGGAAGCGCGTGGAAGTTTCTAAAGCATATGTGAAGCAAGGTTCCTCCAAATTGCACTGATGAAAAACATAGCAAATCATAGTTCATGGAAATCCAGACATCAGCTCAGTCTCTGCAGTCCCCTTCATATCCTCAAATAAATACCAATGCTGCCTGAGAAGCAATCAAAGCCTTCAAATCAAAGACATCCATGACATATCTCCAATATTTATGAGTCTGACAGATTGGTTAATCTTTCTCTCCATCTTCACCGCTTCCTTTGAAAAAAAACGAGAAACAAGATTCAGAAGTTCAGATTCTTGTTTGTCTGTATGTGGATGTTGGTGGTGAACTTACCCCCTTGCTCAATGTCGGAGTCTGTGAGGTGGGTGAGGGAGAAGCTGGCGATGCTGGCTGGGGAGATGGAGAAGCGCGAGTAGTTGGAGGGACTGTTCCAGCTCTGCTCCAGGGTGCGGTTCGCAGGGGGTGGTGAGAAATACTTAGAAGCTGCTGAAGTCCCACCGGGCCTACTGGCAGAATGATCACTGGCTGCCTTTGAAAGGAAATTGGGCCCTGGAGATGAGAAGTCATCATCCCACTCAAATGCACCACCTGGGAAACAAAATCAAAAGGTTTAAATGCATCGATTTCAACCTGAAGCTCACAAGTCACCCGTGGCTCTATGATGACAGCGTGAGGAAAAGTGTAAAAAAAAAAATAAAAATCCGCTTTTTGGTTTTTGAAATGTCATTGGGTTTTTAAATGAAAACATTCTGTACGCGTTAGACTAGAGACTGTTCTTAAATGTAGCTCTTTGGTCTTAGGATAAGTACCACTGGTTCAAAGGGTTCACAGTTAAAATACAGACCAGTGGTTTCCATCCCTGGTCGTGGAGTATCCCCAACACTGCATATTTTCAATGGATCCTTAATTAATAAAGCTTCTTAGTAGAGATTCCAAGACATCCAAGTTGGGGGTGGTTTACACTACACCGTTTTCAACTAAAAATGGAAAACTTATTATGCATGTTGGCCATTCATTTACACAACAGCAGCTTTTTGGGGGCCTGAAAATGCAAACCTTTGAAAACTGGTTTGATAGGGAAAGTTTTTAAAAACTAAACCATTACAGTCTATGTGTAAACTACAAAAATGCTAATTTGTGAAAACAGTTAAAAATCTTGCAGATACCCTGAATATGCATGCTCATGATGTCAATGTAAGACTTTTTAAGAACTTTTTTAAGAACTGCAGAAATAAAATTAATACCATATGAGCAGGGTAGGGCTATGTCTATGGTAACATATTAAACCATATAAATATTTATTTAGAACAAATAAATATATTTTATATTGTTTAGATTATTATCATGCATTAGCATTAGATTCCTGTCGATCCACCAGTTCAATGTGTGTTTGCTGCGTAAAAATATTGGTCGATTTTTACATTGGTCTGAACAAAAACAGCAGACGGGCTTATTGAAAATGCACATTCATTCTCTGCCAGTAGGTGGAGCTTTTGAAATGGCAGAAATATAACTGTTTCCCTGGCAACGGCTGTACAAAAAGCAGTGCATTATACATAGGCTAAAATGATATGAAAATGCCATCGATACTTTTCTGAAGGCAGTCAGTTCCCTCCAGATACACATTCATATAAAAACACCCGCGTGTTTTGAATTTGAAACGAGCAGGCCTTAAGTTTAATCATCACATTACGCAATATCGCATTTTTTGTCTTTCTGTCCCCAATTTAAGACTCTTGAAACCATAATTAAGACATTTCTTATAACATTTAACATTTTCTATGGCCTTACATTTTATACAACTAAATTTAAGGACTCGCGGAAACCCTGGTAAGCATGTGCGCAGGTGTGTAGTGTTTCTTTACCAAGTGACATCACCAACTACAAGCCTGTCGTTTTGTATATTTGTTGACAACATTGTCATCTGTACGCAAAATTTTTCAAAAATGCAAAGGAAAAACGTTTCCGTTTTTATTACAATCGTTGTCGTGTAAACATAACCATAGACTGTCAAGAAAAAAATTAGCACAGCCGTTACCTTCTTCATCGGTGGAGCTCTCAGAGTTGGTAAATCTATTAAGGTAGCTGGAGGAGGCCACTGGACTGCTGAAATCAGACAATTGACTACTGGGGTCAAGAGTATGCTCACCAAGTTCCTTTGTTGGGGTTTCCTATTTGGTTGAAAAAACAGGCAATCAGGCATAGAAAAAGCCTCTTAAAAAAACAATCAAGCTGTATTAAAACATTAGTAAGAACGAAAGGAAAACATCAGACCTGGTCAAAAAGGTAGACGGTGACATCATCAAAGAATGACACTCCGCGTCTATTATCTCCATTGCTGCCCTCTTCTAATGTTGCTTTAGCAGTCTGAAGGGATTTGGGTTTCAGCAGGCCTTTGAGGTTGAGGGAGCTGCTGTCGTCTGAGATGATAACAGGTACTGGGTGCATAACATCATCCTCACTGCACTCAGAGCTAGAGCTGTGTAATCGGTAGGCACGCATATCCTCATCTGACTCATCACTGTTCTCATCTTCTTCATCAGCATCCATCCCATCCTCGGTGCCGTATTCCAGTGAAGATCCATCAAGCTTGCCTAAGTATCTCCCCTCCATATCTGGCTTCTTCTTCTTAGTTACCTCCCCAGCATACGTTCTTGTTAGTTTTGCATGGACCATGACGTCTGTTGAGGGCTGCATGGAGGTAGTGGATTTTGCTGCATGTTCCGGGGCTGCATGGGGATGAGTTTGGTCTGAGTCATCAACAGTCAATGGTTTTTCCTGGCTCCAATCTTCCTCAGTGGTTAGAACCAACTCAGGAAGAACAGCCTGGACATCACCAGATTCTGGGGAAGTCTCGGACACCGAATGCTCCTCAACAGCTTCGGTTCCTTGACTTTCGTCAGCTTCTCGATTACTCTGGAGCCAAAATGAAGCATCTCCAGGGCCGCTTCCACTGATGTCATCACTCTTCTTATCTAGTTCCTCATTGTCTGAGAAGTAAGCAGAGTCTCGGTAGTTTCCACCTAAGGGAACTTCAACAGGTTCTTGTTGGTGATCAACTCTACCACCATTCACCTGAACATCAGGTACAGTGTCCACCTCAAAAATGATCATTTCTGGTGGAACCAGTGCCGCAGGCTCCTCGGCACTTCCCATCTCCTTCTCTTCGGAGGAATCCCTCAAGCTTGTTTGAGAGTTCCACTCAGGTGACTCCAGGTTTTCTGTTTCATACCCACTGTCAGCTGCTTTGTACGGGGGTTGAAGCTTATTAACAGGGGTTTCCAATGACTGTCCATGCACCACATCCTTATACACGTCCAAAGAATCTAATGAATCTGGCGTTTCAGCCGAATTCTCAATGGTTGGAAGAGTGGAAGAGGTGCTATCATCAAGAAGGCTGTCCTGACTTATTTGGTCAAGACAGACATCTGAAACCAACAGTGAGGACATGTCCTGAGTTTCAAGGTTGTCCAATAAAGTTTCTTGATCTTGATCGATGGCTTCTGATGGTGGAATATCGTTGACCGCTTTCTTGTCCAGCTCCATTATATCACTCATTGAGTCACTACTTGTTAGAGCTTCAGTGAAGCCACCTTCTGTACACTCACCAGCAGGAGAAGTAGTAAAGCTAAGCTCAGCTGCATCGCTGATTCCTCGATACTGCCCATTCTCCTTTGAGGCTTCAAAGCATTCTTCAAGGCTGGGGGGTTTGGCATCTATGCACATATGCTGTGTATCTGTAGTGGCACTTTCAAGGGACTGATGACTATCAGATGGACTGTCAACAATGACCTCAACACTCTCAGAGGTAGAATCAGAAGAGGAGTAATTCCCAGATTTTGGGGAACGCAAAGAGCCATTTGTGTCTGGCAGGTGGTTGCTACAGGTTTGTCCTGTTACTAATATATCAAAAGGCACCATTGTTTCGTTTCCTTTCAAAGGCGACAGAAAATCATCTAAAATCGGGCTGACTAAGTCCAAGAGTTCATCCTTAAGCTGTGCAGAATTCCCGGCTGATTTCAAAGACTCACCTGTGAGGTTTACACTATCTGAGACATCAGTCTCAGTGACGGAGCTCATGGTCTCCTGGATATTTTTTGATTCAAACTGTGACTTGTCCTTCAATAGGGTGTTATCTTTAAGAAACAAGAAGTTTTCAGTCAGTTTCTCAGTGTTAAGAAGCTTCATTACATCTGAGCTCTCCTGATCAGAGATCTCCAGATGAATGGCTTCTGGTCCGACCCCTAAAAAAGACTTCTGAAAACTGTCACTTGACTCTTTCCCATTGGCTCCACCATCAGAATCCCTCTTCGGTACATTCATCTCTGGGAGCTCCATAAAACCTCCCGTGAATGAATGAGAATCTTCCAGTTTTGCATCACCCTCACTGAAGATGTTAGTATGGTAAGGGCTCTCATGTTCACTTGAGGACCATATGTGGCTGTCCTGAAGGAACGAGTCTTTTGAGTCAATGCTCTGATGGAAGAAATCAGCATCTGCACTGGATTCATCCAATCGGACATCCTGTAAGACTACATACTGATGCTGCTCTGAAGCATTGGTACCTTCAGCACCCTGACTTTCCCCCATCCCAATATCGCTCTCATCTAGCTCCTCCAACTTAATAAAGTAGTCATTTCCAGATGATGCTTTATGTGCATCAAACACTGGCAAGGTTTCCGGGACTCTGCCATTTTCTGCTTGCGCTACAGTGTCAGGGAAATTAGCCTGAATATCTTGCCGTGGCACTGGAAAGAACATACTGTGGTAATTCAAAGTAGTGTCCATTGCAGAGCGATTGTGGCTGTCATAGTGGTCATGCTTGGCTGCCTCCCACACATATTCAAAACTCAGCCCGCGACTCGTTTCGGTGACTGTGAGCACCTCGTCTGGTTCTCGGCCGTCATCAAACTGCTCCAGGATGGGGAAGGAGGAATGACTGACAGTGGCTTGACGAGTGGTGGGATTGGGTTTGAGAGAGCTCCAGCGCTGCTCGAAGTCATCCTCCACATCTTTCTGACCCTGCATACGGAGGTAAGTGAGCAGGCGATGGACCTCTTCAGCAGTGGCCCTCTTGTCTGCAGGCAGCCAACAAAACTGTAGAACCTCATACCTGTAGACCGAAGCATGGCGTTAAAAAGTTCCAACAGAGAAACTGATCTTGTTTATAAAAACAGACGCATCTGTGAAGAACTAACCATCTTTCGGAGTATGGCAAGTCCAACTGTGGCTTGAGAAGTCTGACTTGTTGATCCTTGAGCACATGGTGGAGCACTTCTCTATCTGACAGGTGAGGATACGGCTGCTTTGCACCTTCAAACAGCTCCCACAATGTCACACCCAGTGCCCTGAAAAACAAAAATCTTGTTCTGTTATGAACATGTAATGTTAAATTATATTAGCTCTAAATCTAGTCAACTGTCAATTGTCTAAAAAATAAGACTTCAATACAAATCCAATATTTATAATTAACATCAACATAAAAAGGGGTATGTCTGTAATAAGACCACCTAATAAGTTTATGAAAGAGCTGGTTGACATTCAAGCCATCATTTGGTCAGTCTAAGTGATTCACAGATCAAAGATCAAAGACCTTTAAATTTACGACCCTGCACAAGTGCAGTGGGAGCTCACTTTCAGAGGGCTCTGATCTGGATTGCTGTGAGACAGCATAACATTACTACCGTTGTTTACCTTTTCTCTTTACACATTTATTTGTTTTTTACTTCAAAAGACACAAGACTGGAAAAGTGCATCCTGTTAAACAACTTAATGTAGGGTAACTATCATTTTGAGTTACCTACCAAACATTGCTGGGTTTAGTCTGTTCTGATGTGATCACACCCCCATGCAGCTCACCAATCAGCTCAGGGGCAAGCCAGCGCAGTGCCACACATTGGTCGTCCTCTGTGGTGATGTAATCCTCCTGCAAGGACAAAGAAACAACACACACACACACACACATACATGTATATATACTGTATATGAAGAGTTCATTTGCAAAAACCGATAAATGCCACTTAAAAAAAAAATTAGCTGATTGCCGTGCATTATTCTCCACATGTAGCGCGATCTAAACCCTAAACACGTTTTGTCAAAAAAGCTGGTTTTGTCCACTTTCAAGGCATCACGAGTTCACGTTTCACTGCAGAAGCCGACAAGCACCCTTGTTATTTTTGAACAGAAGCCGATAAGTCCATTTCAGCGAATCAGCACGCTGTATTCAGGTCAGGTGACAAGGCTACTTTCACTTTGAAAAGACGTGCTAGCTGAGAGGAGTTTCGTCAAAGCTGACAAAGTGATCGAGGATGGATAATTTCGACGAACTTGATGAACCTGTGATATCTTCTTCAGGGCGAAAAAGGAAAATAAAAGCTGAAATTTCAATGAACTTTAATTTTGTAAATTACCTGTATTTGTTTAAGCTATTATGACTTAATCAAAACAACCCAACTGCAGTTTGATTGATATTACTTATCAGTTATCGGTTTTTGCAAATGAACTTTTCATATATTATTGCAATAAAAATTTTATATATAAAAAATTTTTTATAATCATGCCTTTTCAAGCTTTACCTTAAAACTCGAAGGGCCAATGCCATAATCTCCTACTTTGACAGTCAGGTCTGTTGTGAGATAGCAGTTCCTCAAAGCCAAATCACTGTGAAGGAAGACAGAAGCATGCCTTTGAAAAACACATTCACATGTAAATTGGTTCTCTCATAGTGTGATGTATCAACTATACTGTCTACATTACCAGCATTAAAAAAATATTTATCCTATTAAAGTTGTGATGGTTTAAATGAAGCATTTAACTTATAAGGTCAATTTATGAATGGATCATTCACAAAATCAATAACATGCATTTAGGAAATAGACATTTTAGCTTAACACTTTCCATGTTTATAAGGGATCCGGGTCTGTAAATTTTACCCATGTGTGATTTGAGTTGGTCCTAATTTTTATTATAAATTTAGAAAAATTACATATAAACCTATTATAGAAGCATGATTACTACATGAAACACAAATACATGAGAATGTACGGTTAGTGATTGGGACCCAATGCCACAAGATTCAACAAATGGCACGTCAAATTTTACATGAAAGCCTGAGATCCAGATTAATTTTTTTTCTAATCTTATTTACAACTAGCCTAAATCATGACTCCTAACTAAAATATGATTTGCAAGCCATCGTCTTCTTAAAATTTGAGCTAATGACCAGATACAAACCCACCGCAAAGATGTCATTGTCTCTATCCACTGTGTGTCCAATTAGTATAATAATAGTGAAGACAGGTGTTCCTCAAGGATCAATTTTGGGGCCAATTTTATTTTCTATCTATATAAATTAACTTGGTAAAGGAGTTGAGCCAGCAAATGTACACTTTTATGCAGATGATACTAATCATCTACACTATGGCTCCATCTTTAAAAGTGGCAATGGACTCTTTACAGAATGCTTTTAATTCATTTCAGATTTCTCTTGGTAACTTAAAATTAGTGTTGAATGCTAAAAAAAATAATACATGATTTTTACACAGGTTGTCATTAAATGATTTTATGATTCAAACTTTAAATGGTACACATTAAAAGGGTTGCATCTTACAAATATCTTGGTATCTGGCTCGATGATAAGCTGACTTACAGTTCTCATATCGATAGTCTTTTAAAGAAATTGAGACCAACGTTAGGTTTTTATTTTTGTTTAAAAAAATGTTTCTCCTTTGTTGCTCGTAAACGTTTAGTAGAAAGTACTCTTCTATCAGTATTGGACTATGGTGATATAATTTATATGCATGCATCTCTGAATGTTTAGAAAAAATTGGATGTAGTTTATCATTCTGCTTTATGATTTGTTACTGGTACAAGTGTCCGCACACATCACTGTAATTTATGTGAAATGACAAATTGGACTTCATTGTGCTTAAGAAAAAAAAAACATATGTAAATTTTTATTTTAAAAGCTTTAGTGGGTAAATTACCACGGTATATATCTAATTTGTTGACATACTGCACAAATATTTATAATACCAGATCAACAGATAAACTCTTTTCATACAGAGATAGGTCGTTCTGCATTTTCTAATTATGCTCCGTATGTATGGAATGAACTTCAAGGTACATTACATATGGAATCTCTACCATCTCTTGCTATGTTTAAAAATATTTTAAAGTCTGTTTATATAGAACAGTGTACATGTTTTAATACATGGCTAGGATTTGTATTGTTTTTAGAAAATTGTGTTTTATGTTTGTTCATTGTGTGGTGATGTGTATTTTTTTTTTTTGTAAATGTGTCCTTGCTGTCTATCTTGACCAGGACTCCCTGGTAGAAGAGATATTGTATCTCAATGGGACCTTCCTGGTTAAATAAGTAAATAGATAAATAAAAATATTGTTCTCAATATGCCCACTGAGGCAATAAGTGGGACAGGAGGACATAAGGTGTCTCATTCAGTCTGAGCTCTTGAACATGCCAGCTCTGATTTCAGCTTTGCCCATCTTTTCTGAGCAGTGTCTCTGTTACACCCTCTCTTGTGAAACCGCTGACACTAGCTGCGTGCTCACACAGCACAGGGCTACTGTCATGCTCACTGAAACCACCACAAGATAAATGACATATTTTAGATGCTACACTCTGGCCTTGGCAAAAGGGGCAAATACAGTACTGTTGGCTGGTCACTGAGAAGCGGAGCTGTGCATTTGGCAATACATGGAAAATTCACAGGGTTATTATACTTAACTAAAGCTAAAACCATTAAAAAACATTTCCGTTACTTAAAATAAATGTTAACTTTTTTTTTTTATTCAGCTAGTTGCCAAAGCAACATTTCTCATCTATATTAAAATAACTAAAACTAAATAAACCAATAAATAAAAATTAATTAATTCTATACAGACATACTTAAAAAAATAAAACTAATAGAAAGGCAAAAACACACAACAAAATTACTCAAATTAACAAAAACTTTAAAATCTAATTCAAAATACCAACAAAAACTATAATAGTACATAAAGTAGATACTATTGTAACATTGATACTAAAATAACACCGGTGAAGACAAGCAAAAAACAATGGGAACTGCTGCACTGTGCATTTAATCAAGAAAAAGCTAAATCTGTATGCTTAAAAAATATATATATATATATATATATGAAGCCACAAGCACAAATCAAGGTCCAAGCACAATGGAAAACGGGAGAAAATGTCCAACTTTGACACAAGAACACCGTTATTATCTAATGGTTAAGACAATATTTTAGATGTAGCATCTCCTGTGTGTGTGAGAGAGTGCTCAGAAAGCCAATATCCATGTCCCTAAGTTTTGGATCCACAGCACTGATTTTTATTTATTGATTTTTTTGACATGTTTATTTAACATTGATTTGTTTTTGTTTTTTTAAACAAATCAGAAAACTGAATTGGAATATGGGAGGGGCTAATTGTTCCAGCTAATAAAGTTCTGGAGTTATTAGTGAAACGGTCCTATTTTAGTGCCACCTGGTGTTGAGTGGGTGTCTGTGCACTTGCCTGAGTAGAGGGTCACAGTGATTTGGGGTCATTCTACCAAGAGTATGTACTGTTTTGATGCATTAGGGCAGAAAATCATAAAAATAAGAAAATCTTACCAAAGACAAAAGGGTTCTCCTCTGATGCTCAGACCCCACAAATTGAGCAATGAGGGTTCAGCAGCCCTTTAGGCACATGAGCAATCTAAAAAAGCTGCACTTGCACATGCAATCTGCTGAAAAGGCTCTTTGGTGTTCGTGCCATTCAAGACAACTAAACTAGCTCATGCAGATGCCCACAGTGGGAGTGTCAAACAGCGTTTTGCAGTAAATCAACTCTGAAACCAAAAATCCAGGAGCCCGAGTATTTTCATGACCTCCATGCCTCCTTTGGAGTTGCAGGCCAGATAACCCCGCCCACCCCCTGTGCCCCATCCGGGGGGATCCTCTTACACTCAAAGCGCAGAATCATCATATCCCAGCAGCGGTGGTCTGCCAACACCCCATAATCCAGGGGAGCTGTGCAATCGGACACCTTTCAGCGTATTCTGAGCATGCGTGAGGGTACAGACGCGCTCGGCATGGCAAGACACCCTAGATAACCCAGCCTTCCTCCAGAAGACTGGAAGGGGAAGAATGAAAGTGCAACATTGCCTTTCACAGTGCTGTGGCCTTTTTTGGAAAAAGACGCCAGCCAGAGCAGAGGAGGAAAGGCTGGACAAAACACACACACGTGCAGCTGCAACGGTCGCATTCAGATCGATGCCATGAGTTGCTGGTGTGATGTTTGCATAAAGGTTAAGCATCGTCAAACCAATGAGAAATGAAATGGAAATGTAATGTATGTGCATCTTTAAGATGTAAATTGAAGTGAAGGTGATATTTGCATGGTTAACCTGTGCAGGAAGTTGTGTTTATGCATATGAGTGACCCCAGCGGCGATCTCACAGGCCATTTTCTGCAGCTGTAGCAGTTCTCCATTCCTGTACAGCCATTCATGCTGAGAAATGTAACTCTTCAGGTCCCCCTGCACACCAAAACACAAACACAAGGGCAAGAGTTACAGGACATTCATGGCACACTGAATCACATTTAACGACCACAGAACCAAACAATTTGCTGAATATAAGCATCTTGGGAAGTAGATATCACAGCACTTAGATTGAAATGATCAAGTTTGTTTGAGGGTACATCAATCCTGCAAAAATTTTTCAGCCTGTACATATAACAGCCAGTGTGTGAAAGGTAAATTGCGGTGGCAGCCACAGAGGGGCAGTATTCTCTCTCTGTACAGATGCTGTACTGCTGCACGGGTAACTCGACCAAATAAGGGAAAGGTGGTTTAATAGAGACTAATATATGCTGTGTCACGGTAATTTAAAAATAAAAAGCAGCAGTAAGACAGTGCTGGCAAATCAGGGCTGTTCAGCTGTGTTGGGTTTCTGGGTCAAAGTCTACAGCCCAGTTTAGCTCTGGGAGAAAAGTGCATTTTATTATATCACACCAATCACACCATATTGCAGAAAAAATACATGTCCTGTATGCTTCATGCTGCTAATGGTGTTTTTAAAAAATCTAAAAAATCATAATGGAAAAACACATTTGATTTATTGATAAAATTGTTAAATAAAACGGCGCACTCAGCCTCAACCCATAATATATTAATTAGTCAGATGAATCGTGATCGTTTCCACAATTTTAAGTCTACTCGCTCAACGACTGAGTATTATTACGCAAGTCGCAGAGGATGTAGACATTGGTCTCGAGAGGATCCTGATATCTCAGACTCCTAGCGACACAGCGCAAAGTACTCCCTTTGGAATGCTGCAGGAGAAAGAGCGTTAAAGGGGTCCTATTATGCTCTTTTACAAAGTCTTGATTTTGTTTTGGGGATGTACTAGAACAGGCTCTCATACTAGGTTGTTCGAAAAACACATTATTTTTCACATATTTTACATTATTACAACACCTCTCTCCCCAGTCTGGCATGAACGGCTCGAATAGTTCCTGTATCAAATGAAGGCCCGCCTTCTGAAATACGAAATGTGCTGTGATTGGTTAGCTGGGCCAGTGTGTGTTGTGATTGGTTAGCTGGGCCAGTGTGTGCTGTGATTGGTTAGCTGGGCCGCCTGGTCAGGAAATGTCATGC